TAGGGTCTCTCTGTAGATTTATTATACAGGTCTTTGTACATGTTTCTGTACTGTAGGATCAAGTACGTATGATGGCAGCCAAAGCAAAAGAAGATGGGGAAGTTGTATCCAAAAAAATTATCCAGTCACCAGAGCGTGTAATGGCAGAGGAAGACAAAGCTCGTGAAGGGCTAGCTATTCTCAAAGTCACTCTGGAGCGCAAGGTTGGGCGTCTCATGGAGCTGCAGCAACAAGTCGAGGGTGTACGAGCGTCGGATAACAATGTAGGAAAGGCCTACAGAATGCTGCAGGATGTACAGGTGGACATTGAGAGGGAAAAGTAAGTAGGGATAGATGAAACATGATGTAAGGAATTATTTATTCATGAGTATAAAATGATGTACAGAGGGGCATATGTTTGTTAAAGTAAGTTTGTTCATACCATCATAATCCTAAGAATATGCAATTGAATCCTTACATTTTTGTTTAAAATGTCCAAAGAAAATTTTATTCTATCATAAATGTAAATGTATAGAAATGTGAGTACAAATACAAGGGAAGTGAAAGTACAAATGAATGTATACAGGAGGATTTAGTACATGTGATTAACAGGTTAAGGTAGTTTAAGATAAGACAGGCAAGTACAGGTACTCATATTAAAGGGAAAATAACAAAATAAAACATATTGTAAAGGAGAGTACAGTAGATATAGAATTATTGAAGCAGAAACATATCTTAGCTAGATAGGGCGCTATATCAAATGTTGTATATTATTATTATTATAAAGACATTTATGAATTCTTCCATGTGAATGATGTCACAGTCTAGAGCTAGTTCTTACCATCATGTTATACACACATCGGTGCAGTCTAGATTTCTTACTGGCTGTGGTTGATCATTCTAATATTCAAGTTAATTTTTTGTATGTACAATTCAAAAAAGATATAGATGTTAGATTAATATTTTGTTACTAGGGTTATGTTTTATTTCATGAAATCACTCGGTAGTGATAAAAGATGGATTTGCTTAACTGGAACTAAAGGTCTAAATCTGGTCCACTGTTTGCGTGGTTGAATTACAATTTTATGACCAATTTTCAGCTATAATACCTGATCAATGACATGAGTGTCTGTTGACAAAATTTTGCATCATGTTGTTTTGTTATGACCATTGAAAACAAGGCCTTTTTGTACCTCCGCATAACAATCACGTCTGGATAAATTTTCCTTCAGTTTCCATCAGGTTTTCTCTTTAAACTTAGTGAGTTTGTTATATATATGCTTTTAGTTCTTGGATGATTGTCTGGGGAAAACCTTCCTGTATATTTCTTACACAAGTAAAGGAAAAACGTCTGAGTTGATTTTATTCTTAAGTGTTCTTTATCATGTAATATCAAAGTCTGTTCCTGGTGATGATTATGAATGGAAAATCAAACAGTTACAACATCGTGGCAACAATTTTGGATTAAGTATGTAGTGATATCAGTCTTTAAATCACTAGCTGCCCGATATGTCATATTAAAGCTGACAGCATTATCTTATTGTTTTAGTGAGATCTGTAAAGAAATCCAGAACATCAGTGACAAGATACAGGAGCAAAAAAATCACATGAGTGATTTTTCATCCAAGATAGACCAACTCAACCACCTGGTTTCTAATCGACAGGAAAAAATGTCAAAATTAAACCTTCAACATCAGCAGAAAATGAGGGCTACACAGGAAAGCATGCAACAGCTGAGGGAGTGAGTATAATCGACAAAATGCAGTGGAGATAGATCTGGGGAATGTTTATGTTACCTGAGCCAATGGCTCAAGTGACCTATTGCAATCGTTTTTTGTCTGATGTGTATAAACCTTTCACTTATTTTTTTACTTAATCGAACCAATGAATGGATTTCTTTAAAACTTGGTAAGAGATATCCTTGGAAGAAAGAGGGTAATCAAATTGTAAAATTGGGGTGCCTGCCCCAACACCAGGGACTGGTCCTCAGCCTCATAAGACATCTATAATACTGTATAATCAATTACAATCTTCTTAGAGTGATAATTTGCCAAATCCCCCAACAACATCATGTATTCATTATTGTTTTTTAATAGAGAAAAAGAATTTCACGAGAAGAAAAACAGTGACGACGAGAAGAAGAAGAATTTGGTTGTACATGACAAACAGAGGTTACAACAGGAGCTGAGGAAGGAGAAACAGTTACTGGAGGAAAAAATCAACTTAGCACAGAATGCTTACCAGGAGATGATGCATACGGTGAGTGTACCTGTAACTGGATTATATCAATACTGAAAAACAGTGGATTGTGTTCTTTGTATATTTACAGAACACTTGTAATTGTGTTCATGAACTTTAACATATCAAGTTCATTTCAGCTGTCGATTACAGGTTAATTTCATTAAGTATACACAATCATAGCTCTCGTGTATCAGCTGTCGATTACAGGATAATTTCAATAAGTATACACAATCATAGCTCTCCTGTATCATCTGTCGATTACAGGATAATTTCATTAAGTATACACAATTATAGCTCTACTGTATCAGCTGTCGATTACAGGATAATTTCATTAAGTATACACAATTATAGCTCTCCTGTATCAGCTGTCGATTACAGGATAATTTCATTAAGTATACACAATCATAGCTCTCGTGTATCAGCTTGAGCTCTTTCTTCCTAAGAGAGACATGTACTTTAAAATATAAATCATTGCAAAGCAGAATTTTATTGTTGTTGTAATAATATGTCAAACATCTTATGAGGATATGTAAAATGTGTGGTTTCATAGTTATATCACTCTCACTCTTACAGTAAATCAGTTATCACACAAGTGTAACATTTTTCTAGCTCTATTTTTAGCTCACCTGCCCGAAGGGCAAGTGAGCTTATGTTATGGTGCGGGGTCCGTCCGTCCGTCCGTCCGCCTGTCCGTCTGGTCGGCGTCAACTTTTTTCTTTAAACAACTTCTTTTCAGTAACCAAAAGGCCTGGGAAGATGATATTTGGCCAGTAGCATGCTGGGATCAAGGGCTACCAAGTTTGTTCAAATAAATGACCTTGACCTGCTTTCAAGGTCACAGGGGTCAAATATGTTTAAATCTTCAAACAACTTCTTCTCAATAACCAAAAGGCCCAGGGTACTGATATTGGGCCTGTAGCATTCTTGGATGAAGGGCTACCAAGTTTGTTCAAATGAATGACCTTCACCCACTTTCATGGTCACTGGTGTCAGATGTCTTTAAAATCTTCAAACAACTTCTTCTCAATAACCAAATGGCCCAGGGTACTGGTATTGGGCCTGTAGCATACTAGGATGAAGGGCTACCAAGTTTGTTCAAATAAATGACCTTGACCCACTTTCAAGGTCACTGGGGT